TGGAGAAGCTCATCTATACCAAGAACTCTTGCAAAATTATATTTTTCTTTCAGAAAAACCCCTATTTTTGGAATGAAGTGGTCATTAAGGAATACAACATTAACGTCACTGGTAAGGTGGGGCTCCATTGACTGGAAGAGTAAGGTATTGGGACTGTTTTCTAAGCCCCTTACCTACATTCTTCTTTTTGTCTAGGATATACAGCAACTCATTCCACTCCAATCCAGTGGTCCCGGAATTATGAACATGAGGCCTACAGCCACAGGCATCATGACACCATCCTTAACTTCTTCAATTGGTTCTCTGGTCCTAACTGCTCAGGGTATAACAGGATTGCTGAGGTGGGCCTCTGTAGGGAAACAACAGAAATGGCCTTAGTGTGCTCCCAGCTCCTTTGGTAATGAGGGCTGAACCCAACATGGTCTCTTCCTCTTCCCCTACCAGATCATCATTGGGGACCTATGGCTTAATCCTGTGCAGTACTACCAGAGGGAAGGAAGGGGCCGAGAGAAAAAGTGAAGCAGAGAACAGCTGAGAAGCAAATAAGGTGGGTGCAAAAATTTCACATGAGTGTTGCCTGCATCCTGCATCATCCTTTTTTCAGATAGAGGGATGGGTTCAGAGGAGAACAGGGAGTGAGGTGGGCACATATGCAGTCACTCTGAGGCAGGAACCCTGGAGAACTGTAATGTAAACTAGGTATAGTTAGGGAAACAATCTCAGTGAGGATCCATGACTGGCCATGGACTCAGAAGTGAAGCAGAATTATTAGTACATTTTCTCTGAACTATTATTTCCATAGCTGTCAAATCCACCCTCAGGCCTCCTACCACCCCCTGAAAATTTGGTTCACCCTAAAGTTCTCCTAGCTCCTATGCCATACATACCTACAAATCTTTATAAATTCCTCATCCCTTGAATTGTCTTTTCCATCAGGCAGTTGTTCAAGGATTAGGGAGGACTGTTTTGAATTCATATGGAAGGAACTTTAATAGATCACAAACATGGAAAGGCCACTTCATGAGGGGCTAATACAACCTTTTTACTACTACTCATGGTGTTCTGGTGGTGTGCTAGTTAAGGCATTTGGCTGCTAACCAAAAAATCAGCAGTTTGAACCCACCAGCTGATCTGTGGGAGAAAAATAAGGCAGTACAAGTCTGTAAAATGTACAGGCTTAGAAACCCTGTGGGCCCTGCTTCTCTGTCCTATAGGGTTGCTTTGAGTCAGAATCCACTCAATGGCAGTGAGTTTGGAGTCTGGGTTTTCATACTGTTCGGTGAAGGTTCATGTGTGTGTTTGTGTGTGTTTTCAAGGCCACATCCAGCTTATTTTATGAACATGATGAAGGAGCCAAGTTCACCTGAAGTAGAAAAAAATAAATGAAGATTTGGAAACTAATAATCAGCATGGTTCTTGTAAACAGGAAGAAATAACTGACTGGTGAAAGATACAGAATGAGATGCTGGTAAACATTGACTGATACTGAAAAATAAACAATTTCAACTGTCTAGGTGTGAGTTCATGTGCTAGGTAGATGGTGGTTTCAATGAATAACGTAATTCCTGATACTGGATATTTGAAATTAGTGACCAGAAAGTCTCCATCTATGGGGGAGCCAGCATTATAACAGAAAGTCTCCATCTGCAGGGGGAACCAGCCTTATAAAGCCACAGGGAAGGGAAAGGACTCACTTTGCTTTAGAATACCGGAGGAGGACACATTCTTTCTACATGACAGTAACTGACTCATAGCTGGAGGAGAGAAAGACGCCAACTTATTGGGAACTTAAACTTACTACAGCAAAAGTGGAGGACAGCCAGGAAAGGGTGTTATGAGAAAGGGTCCACAGGCTGCTCATTGTTCTAAGATAATGCTTCATGCAATGTCTAACCTCTCTTACTTGTATTCACACATGTTAATATGATTAAGACATAGGAAATCTTAAAGCTGAGTTCACTGTTGAACACAATATGCTCCCAATTAAATGCAGCCTCCTCTGCAGGGACTACCAAACAGTATACTGGCACCAGTGTTACAAGAAGCTGGGTAATTTTAGGAAAAAGGGTTATGTAGGGACTGTCGGAAAGGAGTAAAGAGGGGGTAGGAGCAGGGGAAAGTTATTCCTGGGTTTCAGGCTCATCATGAGTACATAAGTGTGGATATATAGGGGGGAATAAAGAAAGGAGATTTACGCATAACTCTACACCTCAACTTAGTTCCTTCACTTTTCTGCGGCCTCGGTTTTGGGTGGCAAGTGCAAGCAGTCAGAGGTGAGGTGTGCTGAAAGGTGGGTAGGACAGTAAACAATGCTCTTGTTAGGCCATCCACCCATATGTTCTTCCGGCAGTGGAATAATCTTAGGTGTGAAGAGTATTCAAAATAGTCCTTTTGAGAGATAATGTGTAAGCCTTTTCCTTATATGTCACATTATGTAAGGAGCTGTGAGGGCACAGTGGTAGAGTATTAGGCTGCTAAACATTAAGTTTGGTGGTTGGGACCTCCCAGCCACTCTGCGGAAGATAGATGTAGCAGCATACTTCTTTAACTTTTACAACCCAGAAAACCATATTTGGCAGTTCTACTCTGTCTTATGGGAGCTCTGGTAGCATAGTGCCTAAGGTATGTGACTACTAACGAGAAGGCTGATGGTTCAAACCCACCAGCCACTCCTTGGAAGGAAGATGGGACAATTTACTTCTGTAGTGATACTGCCTGGGAAACCCAAGGAGGGGTTGCTATGAGTTGGGTCTGACTCGATGGCAATAACAACAACTCTGTCTTATAAGGTCATTGTGAGTCAGAATCAACAACGTATCACAACTGTCAACACCACAAAAAAAGGTAACAGACCCCAAAACACAAAACAGCTACCATGGGAGATGAGTACATTTCTTGCTCATTAAACACAGATATACAATATTCACATAATCTGAATTTTCTGAGGCATTTTCCACATTCTCTGCCAGGGCAAAGGTAAGGGGAAAAACCCTCCAAGTGTTAAAAGGCAAACATGGGAAGTGGCGAGAATTTAGGGGCTGCTTCCTGTGGTTTAACTGCTTCCCAGAAAAGCTCCAATGTATGGATGAGGTAAGGCCTCGGCTGTACAACCACTGGAAATGTGAGAATGTGTTTTTTCTTCCCCTATACTCTTTTCTAATCCTGCATATATGTGTCCCACGTTGAGTGCCTCGGTCGTGGCCACTGTTTTCTGGAAATTCATCACCCTCCATAGACTTGTCTGCTCATGTTCATCTTGTTTTGCACACTGCTTTGCTGCTGTTTCCAGGAACTTTGTCAAGAATGAGAAAAGTAGACTCCATGAATTTTGCCACCCACTACTCTACCTATGCCCTCCATCTGACATTATAGGTTCTCTGTTATAAGTCAGATTTTGGATATGAGCTCTAATAACCTAGCTGATTCTGTGGTAGAAGGGAGCTAAGCCTGCTTGAAGAGAGATTGGACCATCTCCGCACGTTGTTCCCACAATTACCCCCACAGGCGGAACTGACCAGGAAAGAGCTTTTAACTTGAAGGAGGTCTGGGTCTCCCATTTCCCAGTGCCTGGTTCTCGTGGGTGGTGGCTAACTCTGCTGCAGTGATTCAAATGTGTGTGTGAGAGACAGCAGGTTTTGGCCTGGCCAAAGGGAAGATGAGATTGGGGCATGGCAAACTCTAAAGGCCTTTCTGAGAACTGCAATGGTATTTCCTCTAGTTGGGTCTTGTTAAGTTCTTGCCAGGGTTTTGAAAATTAAGGGAACTTTTAAGGCAGATGCTTAACATCCCATGTCTTGCCTTTGGTGTTACAACTAGATTCAGGTCTAAAGTGTCCTAGAATGAATTAAAGGTGATGTCCTGGGATCCACACAGCAATACCAAATGATTGTTGACAAGAGTACTTTGGCTGGACACCTAGTCATGGTGTCCAACCACTGAGCGTACAGCTCACTTATTTTCATCACCAACAACACCACTTTAACTTAGAAATAAATCACATTCTCTAGTGCTTTACCATGACCCCAAAGTTGCCATGCCAGAGAAAGATTCCCCAACCTAGGCTTTCACTGAACATCAGCACATCCAGGGCCGCACATTGCTTTCTCTAGAGAAATCACCTGGCCAGTTAATGCACATTCCTGCTTAATGTCCCTGCAAGTCCTGTGTACGTCCTGATTTGTCAGGATCTTGATGTTACTTCTTGTAACAGAAGTTCTGGAATACCAACTGAAAGGACACAGTGATCACAAAAATCACCATCCAGCTGTTTCCTATGAGGCAGACATCAAACATAAACTTCCCCCTTCTCCAGCTGTGTTTTTGGCTCTGAAGACCTAGCATGAGGCAATGAAGGGTACATATGCATAGAGGGCCTGTGGATGTAGAAAGTGTCAACTGGCAGGTGAGTTATGGGGTGACAAGAGCCTCAAAGTGCAACAGGACCTAGGCAATGACAGCTTTTATTGAGGCAGTGAGGTAGTGGTAGTGACTGACTGGCATGGACATGGAGACACACATGACGGTTTTGAGCTATTCTTGCACAGCGTGTGCCTTCTGCTTCCAGTCCCCACAAAGTTTTGCTGTGCTCATAATTGTTGTTGTTGTTGTTGTTTGCC